AAATTCTTTCATTGAAACAGTAACAATTGACATTAAATAATAATCGGATCTAGATATATACATTGGTTTCATTGTAATCCTAAACGAATTTAGGTTTTTGATCAAATTCTGGATTTGTTGAAGATTATGATAAAGAGAAAAATTGTTTACCCTCCGGATTTTGAAACCTTACGACATATGATTAATTAAATGTTTCCTAATATTTGTTTTCGTTTTGTTAATGTTTCTGATTATAATTTTACTTGTACGATTCCCCCATTCGCTTAATGAACTAATGTGTGTCTTGATGTTGTTTCTGTCACTATCTAAATTATTATATTCTGTAAACACGATTTTGTTAATAAGATTTAATTAAGTGATAAATGGCTAAATTAAATGATAATATTAATAAATCCTTATTGAAACGAGGGTTAAATAGTCTTCATTATGAATTAATGGTGTAATAAATGTGATTTGCATAATTTAGCTCTTTGATTTCATGTATAAAAAAACGACCAAGTGCGAGTCCGACTCGCGCACCAAGAATTCTGTATCGGAAACCAGCAAAATAAATCACGTTCGCTGTATGAAGGCCTTCTTAAATACTTATCTTATTCTGTTTTTTAGTATTTGTTGAACGGCAACAGATATAATTAGATCATCTGTGAAAATTTAAACTGTCTAATTATTACCATTCATGAATTACAGCTTGGGCACTGACAGGACAGACGAATAAATAGCGGAGTCTTAGTAATGGGCCCGTTTTTATCATTTGGATACGGAACCCTAATAAAAATTTGAAATTTTGCTTTCTTTCTCGCTCTCTACGATTATCTCTCCAATAAACTGGCCTAAACTTAGCTTACTTACCTACTGAATGAGTTATATTCTAAAAAAAGTTTAATAAGAAAGACTAGAGTTAAAATGCTACACAAAATATCCACGGTCCACTAAGCAACGGGTTATTTAATACACCTTTTCTTCTTACGAGACCTTCGGTAAAATAAGATTTTATAAAAAGGATGTTGTATCAAAAATGTATATCTATGAGAAAACGATTTGTTACTTCCAATTTCTTTCTTATTCAGTTTTTATTTAATAGGCTGGTTGACATAAAACTATTAGAAAATATCGGAATCAAACTATGAAGGTATCGTGAAACATACAAACAAAAAAAAAACAGTAAAATTGAGAATTTTAGTCTTTTAGTCATTTTAGTCTTTTAACACGTTCACTGCGGCTTGAGGTCGATTCAGCCTCATGGTAGACTTTGGGCTGGTGCGGCGCGTATAACTCGTGTTTTCTCTCTCGTGCGGTGGCTATTTACACTCAACGATATGACGTACGACAAAAACAAATATAGATATCTTTATGTCTGCGAAACATTAACTTGATAGTATAAAAAAAACACTTGAGGTCGAAATAAGCCTCAAACGCACAGAACACAAAATTATTTAATAAGGTGCGGGTTGAGGCCGATTCCGACCTCAAGCGGTGGGGGGCGCGGGCGGCGCGGGAGCAGTTAAGTCGACTTTAGTGCTGCTACAATAGTCGATGGACCACGTGTCTTTTCGCAATATATATCGTTGTGTCTTATGTTTTTTTGTTTATATAATTAGAAAAATATGGACAATAAAATTCGTAAACAGTGCAGCAAAAGGACAAAATTTATTTTTATTGATTCGGACAGTGAGAAAGATCAACAACAGGTTAAGGTTGGTAAGAAATCTGTTTCGAGTGCACAATTACGGCTTTCATTGAGTGCCATGCAGACTGCAAAGAAAGTAAAAAAAATCTGACTAATTGTTCAATATGTAAGAAAGCTCTGTGCTTGCATTGTTTTAACGAACAGCATGCGAAGTGATTACAAAAAGGTTCGGAGATAAGAGAAAGAGAATAATTTGGATGAACGATATATAATTTGTATTTTAGTTAACAATACCCCATACCTTTTTGCACAATACTATAACAATATAAAAAAGTAATAGAAGTATAACATTGACATAGACATTCATCGATATTGCAAATAAATTCATTCCCATCACTAATACCGCCCCGATTCGGTGCGTTTTGAGGTCTAAAACTACCTCAAATGTATTTTAGGTGTTTTCTCTAAAACTAAAAGTCAGAACCCGGGGTGAAGCTAGGTGTAGTTAAAACAAAACCATATTAGTCATTTTAGCATAAAACTAGACTTCGAATCACGTCCCTGATCAAGTTACAACACATTTACCAAACTATTAAAACATGAGGCAGAAAAAGCCTCAACCGCACTACAAGGAAGTTCAGGTTGGGGCTGATTCGACCTCAACCGCACCAGCTGAAAGTTCTTCAAAATTGGGCTCGCGAAAAACGTGTTTAAAATGATTTAAATATGGCAAAAAACAAAGTTTAAATCAGTGGGTAACGAAGTGTTAGTCATAATAATTATTTAGGAATCTCAATCCATAAACTATTTCTATCTGTATAAATATAGTTTAACAATTATTTATTTTCCTCTAATGTTTATCTGGAAAGATTCCTTTCTAGTAATGACACTGCCTGAATACTGATTATTCTAATGTTTTACTAATAAACTATGTTTGTTGTACGCGACACGTAACAACTAACAAGTTATGTGTCGCCTACAAAATTGTAAGTCTATGATAATAATTTTGAATCTTATTTGACGGATGGGCGATGAATATTATTTCACCTACCTTTTTATAACTGTTCCGTATTGACTGATATTATCCATAAATTTATCGTTACAACACTAGTCCTTATCCTGTCGCAGATTTGAGCGTAGCCACTTCACGCTTCGTTGAAAGAACCCATATTGTAGAAAAGCAGTCGACCAGCATTTGCGCTGAAAAATCTTTACCTTTTTTATAAAGAAGCCAAACACTTATATAAGACAGCTTGCGCTATAATATCAATAATATTATAAAGAAGTAAAGTTTCTAAGTTTGTTTGTTTGTCGAGAATGCTAATTAATAATAATTTTGCTTCGAAAATACATATAATAATTTAACAAGTTCTTAACTTGCCGTGGTAGTTAGTGTGGATTTTTGAGGAGATTTGCCGTGAAGTTAGTGTGGATTTTTGTGGAGGTTTGACCCACTTTCCGGTTTTCAAATGAGCTGAAACTTTACATACTCATATAACTTAAACAAGATTGCAATATTGATATAGAATAGAGTTACTTATATGATGGAGACATAAGGTAGCAATTGACGCGTTTGACTTGTCTTGACAATTACTTTGGTTTGAGTCTATGATGGAACTGGATGGTGGTAATAGGAACCCAGTCAACTTTACAAGATCTCTAGTATAACTACATTTTTTTTTAAATCAAATTCAATTCTTTTTGTCAACTTTGTATTTCTTATTTCTTCTTGTACAAAATTGACCATACATTTTCTTCTTCTTTCGTGCGTTTTCCCTACTCCCTCGTTTGTAGGCACTAGTCCTTGGTTGTCTCTGTATTCAGCTGTGCTCGTTCCATAGCTTTGGTAATGGTTGTTTACCACATGATTGTCGGTAATCCTCTGTTCTTTCTCTTGTCTGGAATTTCCAGTTACTTTTTACAGTATATACTTCTACTCGCCTCATCACATGTCCAAACCATCTTCCTCAACTTAATCAATCTTAAAATAGTTCTTGATGTACTCGACCATGCATCATTTAATGGTTTAAATGTATCCGTTTATTGATTTAATTATATGTACCATTTCCTTTGAAATTATGTAGGCTTTAATATAATCGTGAATTAAATCTGTTCTTGAATTACAGTTAAACGGACGGAATGTAAATGAAACCAAAAAGTTTTGGGACGGACGACGACTCTTATTTGCAAAATTCAAAGAAAATAAAGCATTTAATTGAGCAGAATATATAATCGAAGTTCCAGAAAGTTGTAAAGCAAACTTTATATTATGCAAGAGATCTTATAACTACGACAAACCAAAGAATGCCACAGATTTTTCATTATATTCCTTTAGGTAACTAAATATTTTGGTGTATTTTAGTCTTAAAAGTTTTCCTTTGCGGTCGTAAATTGCTTCAACTAAATTTAGCATTCTATATTGTACGAGTCCACTTAGGAAATAAAACTCCAGTTTTTATAGACAGAATTCAGTGTTCCGTATTTTTTTTTTGTTTTACCTATACCGTAATAAATTTATCGAATTATTGTGTGCATAAATATAATTTTTGCAAACAAACGATATAAGTCTGAAATTAATTACAGTTGAGAAATAATCTTATATGCATATGTGATGGATATCAAATGAAAGGATTTCAGCTTACATAACAATATATGTATATTTATTTGTTTTCCTTCTCGGCTTACCTTGATTTCATTTTATAATTGGCAATAATATGTAAGAAACTAGATTTCAGATGTAATATAAACAAATATTACCCATTTTAATTTAAAATTGTGTTCTAAAATTACAACTTGACTACTGAAATACTATTCAAGTAGTGTGAAACAAGTTTACAGAGATGTGCTCTCTCTTTATGTCGCTTGTTGTGGTCGTGTGCCACTTAGCCTAACAAAGACTCGCATTCTAACAACCTTCATTCTTTTTTACAATATTCTCAAAATCTCAAAAATTTTCAATCTTTTATTGAATATTATCATATTGTGTAACATCAAATACAACCTCTGAGAAATAGAAAATAACAATATAAATAAGAGACAAACGTAATTTCTTTATGATATGTATGTATGTCGCGTCCTGTGTCCGAAGGGATACTGAGGGGTTAGATTAGCGTTTCCGAGTTTCCAACAATTTAAGAATTTACTAGCTATACGGACATTAACATGCTGCATTAATTATTCAATTATTCCCTTATATTTCTATTTTTAAAATGCCAAAAACGGGCAAAATGTAGCCAACGATGTATTTTTAGAGATGTATATTTGAATTGTTATTAGTTACAACGTACTTTAAAATTTAAGAACAGATAATAATATCAAGTTAAATATTATGTTAACGATCCCTTCACTTGATTAACAATACTATTGTTTTCAGGATAACCCGGAAAATCAATTCAAGTCAATCCCGTTGGGCCTCTGGTGGGCCATCGTTACCATGACGACGGTCGGCTACGGAGATATGGCACCTAAAACTTACCTGGGAATGTTTGTAGGCGCACTCTGCGCGCTAGCAGGTGTGCTTACCATCGCTTTGCCTGTTCCAGTCATCGTGTCAAACTTCTCAATGTTCTATTCGCATACACAGGTAAGTTTTTTTTTTATTGAATCATGGAAGATAAGCCAGCTGCAATTGCTACTAAGAAAATTGCAGCTGGCCTGACATTATTAAACCATTTATGGTCCAACGATAGACCCAATTTGTAAAATGAGACAATTTTTCAAATAAAATAATTGTGCAAACATTTACGCATAAAAACTCAATGTTACTTATATTTTGATACATTAATCAGACTACTGTGAAAAAATAGTGATGATATACAAATATGTTTATACAAGTGACAGATATATTGTTTCGATAAGGTTTGCCTATAGATTTTGTTTTAAGCATAATCTAGCACACTGAATTAGCATAGGGCTGTGTCATTTATTATTTATATTCGTTAAGTATACTGTTTATATAATTGCAGTGTATATCGTCGATAGAAACGAGAATATTAGACGTTCTGAGTGCTGCACAGAAAAAGCGATTCTATTTAAATTTCTTGCCGATGTTCCTCAATAAAATGTTTCTCGTCGATGATTTATGAAGTAGTTCTTGTTAGTGGATTTAACTGAATGAGCGATATTGAATTTCGTGGAGACTAGGAAAATGTTGCTGCAACAAGATTTATTACTGTTTTCGGCGTTGAACATCCTACTTACTTTTAATTTAATTTTAATGATTATGAGAAGTCTCTCACTAAAATAGTTCTATGTTATTGGATTGAAACAGAATTCACCCACTTACTAACCAGAGATGAGAACAAATTTGATAATACTTTTACTTCAATAAAATTCTTTATGGCTTGAAAATTTATATCTTCATTGTAACTTTTAATAATTTATTCATATCGACTTTTACATACATTTCAACATAAGTAATGGTTAATCAAAATCTTAAATATATAAATATTTATCTAGTTAATAAATTATATAGAAATGAATACGCTTATTGATTAATGGTAATCGATTTTAATCGATGAATAGATCAGATGAATATTGTGCTTTTATTTTTTAGAATAAGATTACAATATGCGTCTTCACGTTAATTGTTATGAAACAAGGATAAAAAAAATTAAAGATAATAAATTAAATTAAATAATTTATTTACATTAAACAAAAAAAATAAAAAATAAAAGGGACGAGGTGACTATTGAGGTGAAAAGTGAAGAAGTGTGAGAGTTTCAGTGTAGGTGAAGGGGCGTGGGTCAGCGGTGAAGTTCCGTTGATGATGTACTTCAGCAGTCTTGAGGGGCATCAGGATCCGGAGCGTAAATTCGGCGAGGCGTAGTCTCGATGCGTCGAACAGGGGATTCTTCGGCAGCCCAGAACTGAGCAGCAGCTCGGGCCTAAGGCGTATACTCGCAGACAGCCTTAGGAGAGACAATTTTGGTCTAAGATTGCAGTGGGTGAAGTAGCGAAGGAGGTTATAGTGGAGTATTGAATTGTTGTCGTCTAGTTATAGCCAGAAAGATGTCATGTGACTTTGAGACCGTAACTTTGAAGAGTTCCCGGGGCAGTCGGCCCCGGGAAATAGGCCTTTTAAGAATTTAGCTAGCTCTGTACGAGCTCCAAAAAGTTAACTTGGCAACTGTTGCCGATGAAGTGATCAAGAACTATTTGAGCGAGGCTTTATATACCTGAAGACGAACTCAAATTTAGAAGTAAATGATTTCAAATGAGAACCCTAAAAATTCAAAAACTACAGAGTTTCAATGCCTAAAACTGACAAACAATGAGTCAATTTTCATGAAGAGTATCAAATATAACCATAGCAACGAAGAAAAACTTTGATGTCAATTCTGTCAAAACAATTAAAATTAGCGATAATTTGTGTTATAATTTGTAAATAAGTGCTTTAATATGATTAGAATTGGTAAAATGTATAAAGAAAAACTATGAAAAGTACAGGTAAGGGTTCACATTAGTATAAGTAGACAAAAACATAGGATGAAAGTTCGTAAAGGTTTGGATAAGTTTATATTACAGAATTTTAATGGTTACAGATATAAAATTGAAGGTCAACAGTTATAGAATGGAAACAGTAAAGAATGTAAATAGAGAACGCTAAAAAGTTTATCAATATGAGCAAAGTTAGTGATATGAATCTAAGAAATGAAAACGATACGAAAGGTTAGTTACGACATAATAAAAAGCATCCTTATTCCGAAATGAAAAAAAAAACGTATAACGTATACTGTAACAGTTCTTGCTTTGGGAAAAAAATGAAGTTAAAAGAACATTTCTTTATATTTTATGATATATACGTTTACATATTCATGATACTTGATACGAGAAATAGTAAAAAGGATTCTTAGAAATGTATTTTTTTTTTGTAACTAGGTTCTTCCGAATGTCTTTCATTGTAGGTACACATATTTTTTTTCAATACTGTGGCATACAATTTATGTGATTTACTACGCTATGACCAAGTAAGTTCTCAAACGAAATGACATGTTTCTAAAGAGCTTTGAATGGGAGATTCTTGTGAGTAAAAGCAAAGCTTTCACCTATGAAAAATATGTTTGACAAATTCGATGTCATCAAAGCGATCCTTCTAGAATTGAAAAATAATTTATCCTTTACAAAAAAAATATGCCAGGGAAATATTGACATTAAGATAAAATAAATACCTCGTAGATGAGTTACACAAAGCCTTAAGTTCTATAACCAGCTGTCTGCTATGTCAACTGCTCGACGAAGCTCTCCACAAACATCTCCATGACGATAGTTGATTTCAAATTAAATGCATTTAGGTTGGATTGTACTATAATCGTAGTTAAAGTTAAAGTTTATGCTGCTTTTGATATTATACGTAACGCTGAATATAACATTGACTGTGGAATGCGTTCCACCAACCTCTTTCTTGGCATTAACAATAACTTTAACCATCGAAACTTGGGCAATTATAATTTACAGATAAAGTTCCGACGTCCTCTAATAATTGCCAAATCATCATCATCATCATCATCAGCCCATATTCGTCCACTGCTGGACATAGGCCTCCCCAATTGCACGCCATCTATTTCGATTTTCGGCTGTTCGCATCCAGCTCCTGCCAGCCATCTTGCGCAAATCATCGCTCCACCGCGCCTGAGGACGTCCTACACTACGTTTGCCGAGATGCGGTCTCCACTCAAGAACTCGTTTACCCCAACGGTTATCGGTTCTGCGGCTAATATGGCCAGCCCACTGCCACTTCAGCTTGCTAATCCGGTGGGCTATGTCGATAACCTTGGTTCTCTGCCGGATCACCTCATTTTTGATTCGATCCCGCAGAGAAACGCCGAGCATAGCCCTTTCCATAGCGCGCTGAGCGACCTTCAACTTGTGGACCAGCCGTGCCGTCAGTGTCCACGTTTCGGCTCCGTATGTCATAACGGGTAGGACGCACTGATTAAAGACTTTTGTCTTTAGGCACTGCGGGATCGACGATGTAAAGACCTGACGTAGTTTCCCAAACGCTGCCCAACCTAGCCGAACTCTTCCATTTACCTCGCTCTCGAAGTTGTTTCTACCTAACTGCAATGTTTGCCCGAGGTATACATATTTTGGAACAATTCCGAGAACGGCACCGCATACTGCAATCGGTTCCGGTAGTACGTGTTCGTTGAACATGACCTTGGTTTTATCCAAGTTCATCCGTAGGCCGATGCGCATAGAAGAGTCAGCCAGGTCATTCAGCATCTGTTGTAGGTCCTGCAGATTTTCTGCCATGATGACGATGTCGTCAGCAAATCTCAAGTGAGAGATGTACTCGCCATTGATGTTGATGTCACGTCCTTTCCAGTTTAGCGTCTTAAACTTGCCAAATGATAACTCATTATTATTTCCTTAGTCGGTATTTTAACATGTTTGTTGTTAAAATAAGTTGGTGCAACATCTGGTGAAGACTGTGACAGGTTCCTGGTTCATGTTGCCATGTCGGATTATGCTGCCACCTGAGTGTCGCTCCCTTTGACCTTCAATATTTGAGAGCTAAGACAGCAACACCTAAATCTTTCGCGGAGTTCGTTGTTGAAATATATTCACAACTGATATCGTATAATGAAGCCATTGTTAGAAATTAATTTAAGTATTTCTAATATATATTTATTTATCTTGCTTTTCTTCTACCCCCCCCCCCCTTACTTTTAAGCATTCAAATCACTTTTTATAAAAAAGAACCCATGAAAATTAAAATTAAAAAGAAAAAATGCATGTCTGCAATTTACGTGAGCGAAGTCACGGAAAAACAGGTAGTAGTTAATAAACATATTTTTCCATCATATCCTCACATCGCACATGAGAAAAGACGTTTATGTATTATACGATTTCCTCACTCGTCTATAACGAATTATTTGGAGGAAAGATTTAGTTGTTTGTTTGTTTGCAACGAATCGGTGCCTAAACTAAATGACCTATATATGTGGTGACGTGTATGACCTATTAAAAATTCTTTCACCTTAGGGTAACTTCATCATGTGCGGTAGACATAGGCTATAATTTATATTGAAAAACTACAAATAAATAGAAGAAAATGGGTGAGGAAGTTTGTATAAGGTATTAATTATATCCGTGTCACAATATAATTCGATATGAAGATCAAGTATTAAATTATTTAAGCTTTAAATACACAGGAGTAAATAATAATACGCGGGCTGCGTGATCCTTAATGATTCCCGGATCATTAGGGATCCGGGACGATTCCACCGCTGCCGGAATATAAACAATTTATTTTAAGTAGAAATACTTAAACTTACCTGTTAAGAGTTCTACCATCTGGAAGTCTTTTAAATGATTAATAAAGAAAAGTATTAAACAATGCCATAAAATATCAACTCATAACTTTGAGAGTGGGACTGTCAACATTTAATATTTCAAGTAAACACCTTTTGTTCTTTGAAAGTTGTTATTTTAGGAAAAAGTTTCCAACAATAAAAAGTTGTCTTAAAAAAATAATGACTTGTTGGCATGGCTTTGTGCTTAGCAAAGAAGTTTAATGTGTAGGTTTTTTATTAAATACCTACTTTTATTAACGCCATAAAGAAGGTACTACTATATTTACTCATATATTATTTTACACCAACATTTCATAGTTTTGGTATTTCATTTGTAATGTGAATAGAAACCAATGAACCAGCGGTTAGTTATTGGTTACCAGGTGAACCTAGCTTTAGTTAGTTAGTTTTTGAAAGGTTTTTCAATTGAAAAAATAAACTCCGTCACATTATTACTAGTTAATAATAATCTTCCATTTACTGGGACGTGCTACCGACATTAATCTTCATGCTTAGTTATTTATTATTAGTAATTTGTGAAAATATGTCATTATATAACGTTTAGATATCTAATTTAAATTATTCGTTTTAAATAATTTTATATACATTATTTTTGAACAAAATCATAAGCTTTGTTGTACTGTACAATAAGTGAAACGGTTTCAGTAGACACCAAACGATACATTTCGTTTTATCTAAATTTAAATCTTGCCGGGAACAAACCCATTTATTAAATTTCCTGTCGTTAATATAAATTATCAAAGATACGAGCATACGTAGAAGGCGGTGGTTAGCGTGCTCGGTCTGCGGTACAGTTGTTAAGCAACTTTTGCATGGTGAGCAAAAATTGCTTCCGTGCTTTGAAAGCACGTTAAGCCGTTGGTCTCTTCTGCATCTACAGCCAGTAATACTCACCAATCAGCAGTGGCCTGTGTGGTGGGTTATGCGCTATTCTTCCTATTTGATTCGATTCTATATACTGGGAAGGCCTGGGTCCCAGTATTGAGGAAAGTAGACTGGTGATGACGGCGATGACGAGTATCGATGAAATGTTAGATACAAAAACGGTATATAAATAGTACTATTTTCTACTTCATTAATTTATAAAAATATCAGTTTACAGTAAGAATTCGTTTAATATGATCTGTCTTAATACGATCCATAATACGCCTTTTGTTTCTCATGTGGTAAGCAATTAAGGGTGAAACCATACAAAATTGTTTCAAGACATCAGATTTCCAAAATAACGTCGAATTGAAAGAAGAATCCTTTACGTAAGTTGCCTGGCATTTCTTCCATTTATGACAATGTTATTACACCTTTGAAACTTTAGATTGAAGATCTTATTGAAAAATCGAATCGCATGCTAATAGAAGCATTCTAATAGAAGTATTCGGTTTATCGATCGGGAATTCGTATTGGTAGATCCGAACGCGTGTTTTTTTTTAATGAATTTATATTACTATAGCTTTATAAAAATAATAATCTTTATTTCAGAGATATGACTCCATAGTCAATGTTAGCAACAATAGAACTATAATTTAATATTAATAATAAAGATACACTTAAAAGCTAGTATGCAACTGCATCCAGCGATTCAATATGGGACTGTCCCATCCATCTACAACGAACCTCAGAATGCTGTTCGGACTATTGCGTATCCTGTCTAGAAGTGACGAGGAACGATTACGAATGATGGCATAGAAATCATCGACTCATGCGTCCGCGAACATCGACGAATCACTACAAAACCGCGGAAGCCCGAGCAGCACTCTGAAACTATTGTTGTATTGGACTCGCAGCACGCCTTATGCCCGCTGCGTATACCGTGCCCACAGACTGCATGTGTAAAAAGACTGGCAGTATGCTTTAAAAAGCGTCACCTAACTTTCAATGTCTAGGTCAACATTGAGAGTCTAAGAGATCCAGTGACCAAGGTACTCAAACTGCGAAACTACACTTAACGGAACGCCGCCTAGTTGTACTGTTGGCATGGTATTATAATGTTTTATAACTTGAGCCAGTGGCATTAAATCTTATCAAAAAATTACGATAAATATTTTTAATTAAAATTCATTTTATGGAATTCTTAGGGGAATAATATAATATCTACAATGGCTAGTTAAATCAAAACCAATGCCTGAAAAATATTGATAAGCTTTGTTAATTCAAAAACAAGGCAACATGTATGACTATTTTGTTCCATTCCAGTCCGTTCCGTTCCGTTCCGTTCCCTTCAGTTATATTCTATTTTAAAATCTATTGAGTCAGTAAAAAAATAGAAAAATATTAGATACGTATTTTTTTACTACTATTTAACAAGAAATAGTTTAAAAACAGGAATCAAAGTTGAGAAGTAGGGTCTCGTTACGTCACAGTTTTGTAGGAAATTTACCAAAGCGTGACGTCATGTAACATTTTAACTCAATGTTTCTCCGTAATTATATACTTTCGAAAAATATAAAAAATCTTAAATATTTTTCAACAATCTTTCTGACGGACAAACATAAAAATTAGTCGTCATCCCTATTATAAGCAAAAAGAACATTTTATCTTATTCATGTAAAGCCAGATTAAAAAGATTTCAATAGAGATGAAATAGACCGTTAAGTAATGAAATCAGACAACTTTCAAATCGGCTTTTTAGACCCAAGTCAAGTAAATAGGCCCACCTATTTATAAATAAATACTCGTACCTAAATATCCACGACTCAAGGGACAATCCTTGTCTGTCACACAGGCGTTTATACCTAGCCGAATTCGAATAAACTTCATTTTACCAGTTATAGAAATTTCCAACCATGATTATACTGAATTCGAACAGTAATTTATCATTGCCACAACCGAAATTCTCAATGGTATAAAGAAGTTACTTTCGAATTTTGTCACCTGTTTATTTCAACTTAATTCGGCTAAAATTGTGTGGGGGTCGTTGTTAAGCACTAAATATTATTTTAGTACTGACTCACTTTCGAAAACCACGAATTTCGTTAATAATATTTATGGACTAGAAAATATAGAATGTTGGAAATATAAAATAATACCTGCTACATTTTAATGTCATATTTTCAATAAAATATTTTGTTTATGGATGTAATTAATATACAGCGAGCTACAAGTTGTCGTATATGAGTTACCTAATTACCACGTAGTTATGAGAAATTTTCCATTAAATCTTTCCTTAGAAAATATACTATGCAATAGGCTAGCTGACAATTTATTTTAATTTTATACATAAATAGTTCATTAATGTCTGAGAAATAATGTACAAGTAACAGTATGTCTAGAATTAATAAATTCGGAAATATTGTGCTGTGTTTGTGGAACTGTTGCTAGTCAGCCAAACGTTCTCTACAAATTCAATGCACTAAGTGATGTCACACGGTGCTACTGTAGCGAAAAACATATGGGCATCTGGGCAATCTTTGTGTTGTCGCAAGTGAGTGTACTTCTGGTCTTGTGTATTCGAGACTTTTTCTCAGTGAACTCGATATCATTTATTGGCGCGATAAAAAACAATCTACGCCCGTATCGTCTGAAATGCATTCGTGTTTCATCTTTGCGCTATTGGAATACTCAAATTAAATTAGACTTCCAGTTGACCTGGATACAGTTATAGCCTAGGTTCATACGACGAAAGGTCACCGTCCCAAATAGCGAACAATTTAATGCAACACAGTGACTATTGATTTAAATTACGCTATTCTATTTATTAATAGAATTTATATATCTGTGATATTATACATATTAGATAAGACAGTGTAATATTCACAACGGGAAAAATGAAGTTTAATCAAGCAAAGATTATTCATTGAGACTAATTAATTAAGACGAATGAGATAGGATTTTATACGTGGAGCTTTCAAAAGATTTCTTATACTATTTCAGTAAATTATTTATAGGTTTAACGATATTTATTTTTTGTCTGGTAAATAATTAGGCAATTAATTCTTATTA